AAAATTCAGAACCTGAACTGATGGCAGATACCATAAATCAAATAAATAAAAATTGGGGGCTACCCAGGCTTAGATGTTGAGGCAGTCAAAAACAATGAAAACAAAAAGTCATTGGCATGATAGTTTGGATAATACAAAAAAATCAACTCGTTGACATAGAATTGCACTATTTATGCTACATCTTTTTATAAAACTAGGGCATTTGTGGAATTTGATAAATGAGGTTATTATAGTTTATTATATCTTGGGAGAATTTAAAAAAAACCTATTAGAATGTGTTTTTAGCTAGGGTTTTTTTTTTTTTTTTTTTTTCTGGCTATAGGGCACCTATGCTTGTTGGAGAGAGAGAGGGGGACAGAGAAAGAGAGAAGTTGCCCCCCAGGTAGAATGGCCATGCTGCATTCCCTTCTCCTCCAGTTTCTTCTTGGGATTTGGGGCACGTTTGCCACGTGCTCAGCATGATTTTCAAGTCACCACCCAGTCCAGGGACTCAAATTATTTAGCTGGCTAGATGGAATCTAGCACCTTAAATTCCATACCACCTGTTGACCCAAAACCTGTTGAAATTTTCACCCTCTATATAATTTACATGGAAATAACTACTCCCTATCTTTGAGATTTTCATAGTGTAAGAAATGATGAAACTCTTTCTTTTAAAGTGTGTTTAAAATACAGCCTTTCATTTGCTACATATACTTTAATTTTTTTTAAATGTAGACTGGCAGAGTAAATTTTATAACAAGGTATGGACACTGTACTATCCTACTTTACTCTTTCCTTTAAAATACTTGTAATATACGTTGCTTGTTTACATATCTTTTTTTTTTCTAAGACAAAATCTCCCTATGTGAAATCCCTTGGCCTCAGCCTCCTAAGTAGTAGGGACTGTAGGCATGTACCATCACACTCAGCTCTTTCTGATAGGGTCTTGCTGTGTTGCCTACACTGATCACAGGGTCATGAGTCTCTTTCCTCAGCTTACTGAGTAACTGGGCATATGATACTGCACCCAGATTTTTTAAAAAAGGGTACAGATATCTAACTAGGGTCTTCCTTGTAGCCTCAATCTGCCACGTAACAGTGTTAGCCTTTGCCTGCTACCATGGCTGTGCCTGCTACCATGTCTGGGCCTGCACGTTCTTATGTGGTTCAGGATTAGGATTATAGTCACAGAATTAGAAATAGCTAACTGTCTAATCTGTAGATTGAATTTAGCCCTGAATTTCAGATGGCCTATCTCAGTGGTCCTCACATTAAAGTTTGTAAGGTATTAAGATAAAGGAAGATATAGAAATTTAAAATTTTGGTCTTTTATTTCATACATATAATTCCTTATTTTGTGTGTCTTACTTTATATATATGTGTGTATGTATGTATATATAGTATTAGTAATATACATGTCCAATTTATAAATAAATAACTATGCTGTTGTTTACATATTTACTTATAGGAATATTTATAATAAATTAAAGACCATAGATCAAATAAAGTAATCAGAGAGTGGATGCTAAAGACAGAGCATAGAATCTTTTTAAAATCATAGAGAAAGATCTAATGATTAAAAATACGGTAAAAGAAAAATTAGGAATATTGTATTATACAAACCAATGGGTTTATTTATAGATTACTCATATATACAACTCATCATGAAACATAAAAATAGTTCCTTTTGTTCACTTAGTGAATTAAAGTTTTAGTGACTAAATAGACTACACACATCTTTCAAATAGCTTTTAGCAGTTTATGTATAGGTTCAACTTTCTTACATATAATGACTTTTAAATTTATGGTTATAGCTGATCTTTATTTAGACCTTTTTAAATAATTTATTTAGTGGTTAACTGCTATAAATTTTGGCTCCTATATAGGAGACAGTTTATTTTTGTTTTTCTTTCTTGGTGGAAGTTATGTAGAGTAACTTTTTAAAATTTTAAACAAGTTTGAAATGTTAATTTTCTCTATTTTCCAAAATTGCTAAAATTAGATACTACTTTTATGATCTGGGAATATACTTAAAAGAGTTAATGGAAATAACACCTAGAGGTAGAACTAGTACAGCTTATGCATCTACCAAATTGCTTATTATGGAAGGAGAGGGTGAAGAGAAGGGAGAAGAAGAAATACATAGTAAAACATAAAAAATAAGTAGTAAGGAAGCACTATAAAATAGGAAAGAAGTTACATGACAAGTTAGACTCAGTCTATTATAACAAATATAAGTGGGATAAACTCATCTTTTACTTACAGTAAGAAGGCTTATTATTAAAATTTGGTTTCAAAAGTCTACATGCATGAGATATACATGAAACAATCTAAAGAACTTATAAATGATAGACATACTAAGTGAATTGTAACAGAAAGAAAGCAGAATGGAAGTCATAATGTTCAGCTCGACAGATTTAAAAGTAAAAAGCAATAAATGGGACAGATTTTAATGATTATACATATAAGCCACAATGATTATGATGTCAAGAATCTATTAGCACCATAATATACTGAACTAAAATACAAATGCCAAAAATTTGCAAGAGGCCCAGCCACTGTGGCACAGTAACTTTAGCACCTGGCAGTGCTGGAAGCCATGGGCAACTGCAGTTCAGGTCACTGGTTAGCCTGCAAAACATGCCAAGTGTAGGTACTAGAAATCTGAAGAGCTGGAGGACTAGGCAAGGTGGATCATGGTGCGATGTGACCCTGTTGAAGGAGCTTTGTCTCTCTCTCTCTCTCTGCACCGCCCCCCCCATGAGCATGTACTCCCTATCATAAAAGAAAATTTTTAAAATTGCAAAAATGAAAGATTTCTAAGCCACTTAATAGTGGCTTAGAATTTTATAGTACTTTTTAAAATCTATGGAGGTCAAGCTGATAATTATATTATTCCTAAATCCTATATTCTTATTTAATTCAGTTGACGTACAAGTTTAAAAAAAACATATATTCTAATAACAAATGTCTTTGCCATGGCTTATGAAATATTTATTAAAATTTATCATGATTTTGGTCACAAACAAAATTTAAGATAATTCTAGAATAGAAATAAGTCACACTTGATTCTCAGCCTCAGTGCCAGTAGTATTAGAGCTAAGTAATAAAGATGAAGAAATTTGGTAATTTTCAGATTTTCTCTAACAACTTCTGTGTTAAAAGAGAAAAAGTTTTAAGATATTATCTAGATAATATGATAACATTAGGACATACTGCATTTTCTTCTGTTCTTATAAACAAATTGTATATTCTGATTTTAAGAAGATAGTTAAAGACCAGCATTCAGTAACAAATTTTTCTTGCTCTCTGTAATAGGCAAGACTTTTTATCTGATGTGAAATTAAACTCTGAGTAAGACTATGAGCCTGGAGGACTTGTGATCAGTTGGACTTTATTATATTCTACAATGCACATTAGTAGTAGATTATTTGAGATATATATTTTGAAAATCTGCTGCCATTTCTTTGTAGGCTTCCATGTTCAGTATGAGCACTTCACAGATACTTATTTTACCTATAAAGGGAAGAAAAATAGATTGTATTTATAATAGACTGATTAAATTGTGTAGATTGTCTGGAGATCTTGGTCCTTTTTATTTCTGTCTCCTGTTACAGTTCATTAGGCAATTCAGTTGTATCTCTCTAGGCTTGAAATTTTTCATCTGTAAATGAGGAAGTTGAATTAAAATACAAAGTTCGTTATACATGTTATTTTTGTGTAGCTTACTCGACATTAAATAAGTATTGAACTTTGCCTCCTTTTATATCTCTAAGGACTGAAATTATGCTCTGGTATGGGAGATAGACAAGCTTAAGAGGTCATGAAAAGCAGAGGCAGGTGAATCTGTCTCTGGTAAGGAAGGAGATTGAAGGGCATTGAGGAAGCTTTCACAAAGGCAGTGTGACATCTAAGCTGGTGTTGAAGATAAATAAGAGTTTGTCAAGTGGATGAGGAAAGAGAGAGTTTAGATAGTAGAATGCGCAGAGGTAGAGAGAAGGTACATTTTACTTTTGAAAATGTTAAGTTGTGTGACATTTAGTAAGCATGGGCTTATAGAGGAGTAACAAGATTTTATTAAGCATTGAGGCGTATAGGAACCAAATTGTGCAAACGTTTTGTGTCATACTAAATAATATGAGTTTTAAGGTAAAAACAATAGCTATCTATAGAAATATTTTTAGCAGGGATGGGGGATGGCAAGATAAGATTTAGTTGAGAATGGATACAGAGAGAGCAGTTAGAAAGCTGGCAATTTAGGTGAGACATCATGGAATCTAAATTAAAGTAATGGCAGTCTATGTGATATGTAGATTTTATTATAGATCTCTAGAACTGATTCGTTTCATAGTGTCTGTAAAAGCCCAAAAGGTATATACTAGAATTGTTTTTTTTTTTGAGGGAGGGCAGCAGTTGGCATAATGGCTACATTGCTGGACTCCCATATAGTCCACCATGGTTCAGTCCCGGACCCGATGGCTTAAACTCACGCCGGGCGCGTGTGCATGCGTGCCCAAGATCCCGAGCGGAGAATGGAGGAGAAAGGGATTGCGGTGCAGCCATCCCCAAGTGATTTCTCGCTTTCTGTCTGTCTCTGTCTTTCTGATGAGCGCACGTGCCCTATAGCACAAACCTCTCCAGAAAATTTTTTAAAAAATTATTTATTTAATTTTATTTATTCATTCATTTATTTTAATTTGACCAGAGAGAGAGGGAAAGTGAGAAAGCAACCACCAGGTCTGGGACTCAAACAGTGGTCAGCTGTATAGGAGTGTCCAGTGCCTCAACCACCATGCCACCTACTGGCCCCATATATACAAGATTTATTATGTATGAGTATATTTTCCTTGGGAAAGGGTCCATAAATTTCATCACAAAATACAACAAAGCTATTAGGATCAATTACATATGATAGGAATAATTGAAAGGACAACATTCTAGAAACAATGAAGTTTAAATAATTTAAAATTTTACCTTATTTACTAATAACTAATATGACTTTTTTTTTCTTTTTGTAGTGGACAGGCAAAAATCTCAGCAAGTTCGAAGCTCTAGTACAATAAGGCGGACCTCTTCTTTGGATACGATAACAGGACCTTACCTCACAGGACAGTGGCCACGGGATCCTCATGTTCACTACCCTTCATGCATGAAAGATAAAGCTACTCAGGTAAAATAAATCAAAATAAGCTTTATTAACCTACAGTTCTTCTGTTTTGATCACTGTGAATAAAATGTAATCAGCATTTCCTAAATTTGAGCTATATCAAACCAAAGAAGAAATCCATTAATTTAAATAAACTCTGCCATGATTTTTTGTCATAGTTTTAGAAATTTTGCAGTCATTTAGCATTTAGTTAGTAGTACATCATTTTATATTATATGGTTTTAGAGAGTTACATTGTAGTTTTAGGAATTGCTTTCCAGGACCAGCAGTTAGCGTATGACTATGTCGTTGGACTCCCACGTAGTCAACCACAGTTCACGTCCCAGACCCGGTGACTTAAAACTCAACGCCAGACGTGTGCGTGCATGCCCAAGATCCTGAGAGGAGAATGGAGGAGAAGGAATTGCGGCGTGGCCATCCCCACTGGGGAGTGATTTCTCACTTTCTGTCTCTGTCTGTCTGGCGAGCGCACGCGCCCTATAGCAAAAATCTCTCCAAAAAAAAAGGAATTGCTTTCCTATAGAAATGAACAAATGACTAGTCACCTATTCAGAAAACATGAGTTTTTTTTTTTTTTTCTACCTAAGTATTTTTGCTATAGGCACTATGTGTTCCCTAGAGAAACAGAGAGAGAGAAAGTGAGAAATCACCCCCCAGTGGGGATGGTCATGCTGCTGTCTCTTCTCCTTGACTCTGCTCTCAGGATTTTGGGTATACACGGTTGCACATGTACCCAGCATGAGTTTCAAGCTCTTGGATTTGGGACTTGAACTTTGGTTAGCCATGTGGGATTTCAGTACCTTAACCACTATGCCACTTGCTGGCCTCTCTTTCTTTCTTTTTTTATTTTTTAATTCTGTTTTCTTTTCAAGTTATGGTCAAATAAATATAGCTTAAAATTTGTCATTTTAACCAATTTGTAAGTGTACAATTCATTGACATTCAGTGGATTTATATAGGTGTGGAGCCATCACCACTGTCCATCTCTTAACACTTTTTCATCTTCTCCAACTGAAATTGCATTCTTTGGGCACTAGTTCCCCATCCCTTTTATCCCTAGCTCCTGATAAATACCATTCTACACTCCATGAATTTAGCTACTCTAGGAACTTTGTATAATAACATAATATTTGTTTTTTTTGTTAGAATTATTTATTTAATATTAATTGGCTATTATTTCTTCTTTTAGTTTCATCAGAGACAGAGAAAGAGAGAGAGAAAGGGAAAGTGAGAAAGGAAGCAACCAGGTCTGGGACTCAAACTGCAGTTAGCCATGTGGGAGTTCAGCACCTTAACCACTATGCCACTGCCTGACCTGTAATATTTGTTTTCTCGTGTCTTATTTCACTTAGTATTTTCAAGGTTCATCTAGGTTTTTGGACATGTGAAAATTTCCTTTTTAAGACTGAATATTAATCCATTTTATGTACATACCACATTTTCTTTATCCATTTGTCTGTTAATAAACATTTGGGTTGTTTCCACCTTTTAGCACTTGTGAATAATACTTTTATATTCTTTTTGGGTTTTTTTTGGAGAGGCTTTTGCTATAGGGCGCGTGCGCTCACCAGAGAGAGACAGAGAGACAGAAAGTGAGAAATCACCCCCCCCAGGGGGGATGGCCATGCCACAGTCCTTTCCTCCTCCATTCTCCTCTCGGGATCTTGGGCACACACGCACACACGCCCAGCATGAGTTTTAAGCCATGGGTCTGGGACGCGAACCGCGGTCGACTACATGGGAGTCCAGCGACATAGCCATTACGCTAACTGTTGGTCTCAATACTGATATAGCAGTATTCTTGATATATTAAGAAATATCTTTGAGTCCTTGGTTTCATTTTTTTAGGTATATACCAAGAATTGGAATTGCTGAATTATAGGGTTCTATTAAAATTTTTAATCCTGTTTAAATTTTTCAAAAGTCATTGTTTTTTCACAGTAGCAGTACTATTTTACTTTTCAGCAATGCATAAGGGTTACAGTTCTTCTACATCCTTGTTAACAGTCATTTTCTTTCTCTCTCTCTTTTTTCTTTTTTTTTTGGAGAGGTTTTCGCTATAGGGCGTGTGTGCTCGCCAGACAGACAGAGAGACATAGAGACAGAAAGCGAGAAATCACCCCCCCCAGGGGGGATGGCCATGCCACAATCCCTCCTCCTCCATTCTCCTCTCGGGATCCTGGGCACGCACGCACACGCGCCCGGCGTGAGTTTTAAGCCACCGGGTCCGGGACACGAACTGCGGTCGACTACGTGGGAGTCCAGCGACATAGCCATTACGCCAACTGCTGGTCCCTCTCTCTCTTTTTTCTTTTTTTTTTGGAGAGGTTTTCGCTATAGGGCGTGTGTGCTCGCCAGACAGACAGAGAGACATAGAGACAGAAAGCGAGAAATCACCCCCCCCAGGGGGGATGGCCATGCCACAATCCCTCCTCCTCCATTCTCCTCTCGGGATCCTGGGCACGCACGCACACGCGCCCGGCGTGAGTTTTAAGCCACCGGGTCCGGGACACGAACTGCGGTCGACTACGTGGGAGTCCAGCGACATAGCCATTACGCCAACTGCTGGTCCCTCGCTCTCTCTTTTTTTTTTTTCATAATGTACATCCTAATTGTATGAATAGTATCTTTTTGTGGTTTTGATTTGCATTTACTAAATGATTAGTGATGTTGCACATCTGTATGTGGTTTTTGGCCATCTGTATTTCTTCAGAGAAATGGCTATTCAAATCCTTTGTCCATTTTGGAATTGTTCTTTTTTTTCTAAAGATTCATTTTTTTAAATAATTTTTTATTTTTTATCATTATTCTTCAGTTTGACCAGAGAGAGACAGACGAAGAGAAAGAGAGAATGAGAAAGCAAGCCATCAGCTCTAGGACTTGAACCATGGTTGGCCATGTGGGAGTCCAGCAGCCTAACCACCTGCCAGCCCCAAACTGTTCTTTTTGTTATTGTTATTGTTTAATTACAGTTCTTTATGTTTTTAGTTATTAATCTCTTTTCAGATTTGATATGTAAATATTTTCTCATTCTATGCATTGCCTTTTCATTCTATTGATAGTGTGCTAGTTTTTGTTTGTTTTTAAGAGATTTTTGCTGTAGGGCATGTGCACTTGCCAGAGAAACACAGACAGAAAGTGAGAAATCACCTTCCAGGGGATATGGCCAAACCACAACAAATTCTCCTCCATTCTTTTGTCAGGATTTTGGGCATGCACACACATGTACCCTATGTAAGTTTTAAGTCACCAGGTCTGGGACTCGAACTGCAGTCAACTGCATGGGAGTTGAGCCAATGTAACCATTACATCATCTGCTGGTTTTGATAGTGTGCTAGTTTTAATTTGCATAAAGTCCAGTTAATTTTCCTTTGTTGTTGGTGCTTATGGTGGCATATTCATTAAATCATTTCTAAATCTTGTATAATGAGGGTTTTTTCTATGTTTTCTTCTAAGACTTTTATAGGTTTTTGTTTGTTTGTTTGTTTGTTTTTGAGAGTTTTTTGCTATAGGGCACATGTGCTCGCCAGAAAGACAGAGAGAGACAGAGAGACAGAAAGCAAGAAATCATCCCCCCAGAAATCACCCCCCCAAGAGGGGAAGACCAAGCCACAATACCTTCTCCTCCATTCTCCTCTCGGGATCTTGGGCACACATGCACATGTGCCTGGCACGAGTTTAAGCCACTGGGTCCAAGACTCGCTACATGGGAGTCCAGAGACATAACCATTATGACAACTGCTGGTCCCTATAGTTTGGTTTTAAATATTAGGTTTTTTGATTCACTTAAGTTAATTTTTGTATATAGTATAAGGTTAGAATGTGACTTCATTCTTTTTTTTAAAAAAGAATTATTTAACTTTATTTATTTATTTATTTTTATTTTAATTTGACCAGAGAGGGACAGAGAGGGGTGGGGGAGTGAGAAAGGAAGTTGCCAGGTCCAGGACTCAAACCGCAGTTGCCCGTGTGGGAGTCCAGCACCCTTAACCACCACACCACATGCCAGCCCTATGACTTCATTCTTTTGGATGTAAATATTCAGTATTTTCATCACCATTTGTTGAGAAAGCTGTCCTTTGTTTATTGAATGGCCTTAACAGCCTTATCAAAAAAATCCATTGATCATATATACGAGGGTTTATTTCTGAGCTCTCTATTCAATTGATATATCCTCTGTGACTTTTTATATAATTCCATAATTGGGAAGGATTTCTCTCACTCTAAATTTTTTTAAGAACTATATAATTTTTTTGGAACTTTCACATTTTATTTTTTGTTCCTTTGATTTTGTTTCTTTGGAGTATATTTTGATGGAAGGAATGAGATGATAGCCAGTTTTATTCACTTATGTTTCCAAGTGACTAACCAGTTAATGAATAGTTTATCTTTTTCCACTGTTTAAATGAGATGTCACTCTTGTCCTATAATCAGTTAACATTCTTACTGAATCTCATTCTAGACTCCCTATGCTATCAGTAATGTCTTTTTGTGCTTATTTAACACTCAAGGATTTTAATTTTAGTTCCTTGGTAATTCTTTTTAATGGCTAGTAATGACTAGCATCCTTGTTTTTCTTGATTTATTTTAGAATAATTTTGTCAAATTTTCTTAGAATGTTTTGTATTGCAGTTAATATTAAGTCATGTTGAATTGTTAACTTCACCATATTGGTTCTTACCTAAGAAAGGGTTTCTTTATTTAAGTGATTGTTATTTTTATCCTTCAGAACTTCAAAAAAAACTTTCTTACAGGATCAACACATTTCTTACTAAAATTTTACCTCAGTATTTTGTCTTTTTTGGTTGCTGTTGTGAGTAGGGTCCTTAATTACTTCTTAATTAGTTTAGGTGACATTTTTAATTTGAATTTTACTTCTGGTAATTTTTTAGGTAATTCTCTTTGGTTTCTTAGGTATATGATCTCACACATAATAATCCTACTGCTGCCTTTCCATATATCCTTGTTATACATTCTCTCTAGGAATTGCATTTGTCACTACT